AAAAGCTTAAAAGACATATCTCTTCTTTCCTAAGCCTCTTCAAAACTTTATCTAATTGTATTTGGTTAGACACTTATTAAGAACATAATAGTAAGATATCGTGGACATAATTTCACCCCATAATGTGTTTGAAAATATATTCGTTTTGAGTATAATTCTAATCATCATATCAAGGAGAATCTTGATCCTTTTTGCAAGGCCATTATACTATAGCATGTAAGGAGCAATCACTTCATGCATTATGCCATTTGATTCACAATAACTTTCACATTTCTTAAAGATATATTTACCTCCACCATTTGTTGTAAGAAATTTTAGAGTTCTATCATATTGTTTATCTTCCATAACTCTAATTCTCTTAAACATACCAAAGGCTTCACTTTTAGCTTTTATAAGGAACAACCATATTTTAGGGGTGTTTAAAATTGAACCAACCCAATAAAAAATCGTAAATCAAATTAAATCAAACTGAAACCGCAAAAAATTATATTTGGCTCAGATGTGTTTGAGTCATCTTTTAACAAAATTGTACGGTTCGGTTCAGTCTTCTAAAATCTCTCATAGCATTATCGCATCTTCATTGCCACATACATCTAGTCTCTTCTTATATAATTTTTACTCTCTTATATACTTTCTTTTTCACCTTCTCATTTTTATACGAATGTTCTCTCTTTCAATTTTGTTTTTATCGCACATCTTCTTCTTCAATGTCTCATCACTTATGTTCTTTCTTTTTCATATTCACAAATCTCTCATCTCTTATATTTTAATATTTCATTATAATTTTTTGATATTGTTTTATGCTATTGTTTTATATTTATTATTTCATTTTTGTCTAATCTAGTTTTTACATATTAAATGAGAAGTTGTTATTCAAATATGATAATTTTTGTTGTTATTTGATTGTGTATGAATGACTAAATAGAAATTTATGTTATCATCTATATGTGTATGTATGATTCAATAAAATATTTGTAAAAAACTAAATCAAACTGCAATGATTTGGTTTGATTCGATTTTTTCTAAAAGTCAACCAAACCAAATCAAACTGCGCATTTTTCACTTACGATTCGAGTGACTTTTAACGTCAAAATCTCTCAAACCGTACCACGAACACCTCTACATATATTTGTGCTAAATTCATCCATAAATGTAATAAAGTACTTTTTCCTCATTAAGAATTCATCCATAAATGTGATATAGTTATTATTTCCTCTTAGAGAAGGAACCTCAACAAAATCAAATATATTTGACTATACTACATATAACACACCAATTGATCAATATATTACATGTGATTTGAAAAAATCCCTAGCAATGTTTTCTAATTAGATAGATTTCACAAGCTTTCTCAGGTAAAGTCAATTTCGGAACACCTAGCATTGATTCCATGTTAACTAGATGAATAAGGCTTTTGAAATTGAAATGACCATATCTATGATGCCACAACCATCTTCTTTAGTAAACACTATTGCAAAAAAAAATTCATGTAAAGTGTAGTGTTATATTTGGTAAAGTCCTACACCAGGGCACCCTTGCCTACTAATTGGGCTGCCCGAAAAGAATCCAAGGGAATCCCCTGAGAGGCTCCACCGGCACGAAGGTCAAGCTAGAAAAAGTTCCCGCTGATTCTGAGATAATAGGTGGTTAATAACCATCCCCAGTAAGAAGGGATCAATTAAAGACCACTTCTAGGAGACAAAAGCCATAGGTCCTCGAGGTCTTTATAAATACACCATCCCGTATAGGATAAAGGTTAGACTTTAAGTCATACACACTCTCCACTACTAAAAAGATCACTACACTCATACACATCACCACATACTCTATCAATATTGGTCCCTTAAACTAAGTCAAAATTATCGCACATGGCTACTCGTTATTGTGAGCTAGCCCTCACCATCTAAACTTGTAATATACCTACTGGGCTTCTGAGTTTCCCTAACCTTACAGGGGAAACACACAAACACACACATGTACTTTTCGGACAGTACAATAGCACCCACTGTGGGGCCCAATAACCCTGGCCACACCTCTTGTTAACTACCACCACCTTCTCTTCCGTACCCTTAACTCCTACACCTAACCATGGTTTGACATGGTGAACAAAAGAGCTCCATCTCCTACTCTCGAGGGTACCAGTGGTACAGGCGATGCCAATGCCATGACGAATATGCGAGCCAACATGGACGAATTATGACGCGATAATTGGATGTTAGAAGAAGACGTCCTAAACATCAGACATCGCCAATAGGAGGTTAACCCTCTGGAAGAGGTGGAACTACTAGATCCCCAACAAATTTTTGACAAATATGGGGAGCCCTTGTTCCCGAAGTTTTGAAACCTCCATCCTTAGCCAACTTCGATGGAGGCAACGATCCCTACGAATATGTCGCCTCCATCAACATACAGATGACCATCATAAGAGCTTCAGACTCTCTAAAATGTAAGCTGTTGTCGGGAACCATCATGGAATTGCCCTCAAATTGTACATGGGCCTTCCCTGTGCCTCTATCAACAACTATCAATAAATGATAAGGAAACTGGTACACCAGTTCTCCGCCAGTCACCACAGGAAGATGTCCACCACCAACTTGTTTAACATCTGCCAAGGTCCGTCAGAACCAATGAGGGATTATTTCGTCCGTTTCAATGAATCCACAAACAAGATCTCCCCTCTAAACCAAAATATGTTTGTGGGTCCATTCAAAAATGGACTTAAGGTGGGACACTTAAATGAATCTGTTTCCTAAAATTCGGCGCTCACGCTAGCCTAAGTAGTTGTTAGGGTGGAGTGCTACATCAAAGGCGAGAAAAGAAATGCAGAAAACAAGGATCGCAATGTCAATGAGCACGTCCTCGACACCGAGAGCTCTCATCCCTCAAGAAAGAACCATTATACCACACCCATGAAGGACACATCCCTGTTTGAAAGGGAAGGGGAATGATGGAAAGTTTCACGCCTTTGAACACCTTCCGAGAATAAATATGACGCGAGGTACTCCACATACACAACATCCTAACACCACCTTCCCCAAAGGATAAGATAAAGGGATCTAAGCCTGAAAGGTGGTGTAAGTTTCATCGGGTCAAGAGACACCATACTAACGACTACTACCAGCTAAAGAAGGAGATAAAAAACAGCTACGGGAGGAACGTAATTTGCGTGAGCAGGAAAGTACATGAAGCCCTAAGCCAAACAAAGCCAAGGAAACATCCCTAGGATGAAAGTAGCAAAGCGGTGTGTCATGCCCTCAACACCGTAGAAGGAATATTGTCCCGAGGCAATGAGACCATTTCTTCCAGAAAAATACTTCTATCATATCCTGAGTGTAGAAAACCTCCATGAGATCACAAGTACGAAAGTGCAAGAAGTCGTGATCGCCTTCTCAAAATAAGATGCGTTTGGCGTCCACCCTCACAACGGGGATCCTATGGTCATCCCCGTCAAATGTAAAGAGTGGGATATCAAAAGAGTCCTAGTCGACCAGGGAAGATTCACCGATATATTGTATTGGAATGCCTTTGAGAGACTATGTCTCGACCCCAAGGACTTGAATCCTTTCAAGGGATTATAGGCTGAATTTTAGGAGAGCAAGTGCAGGTGAAGGATTACCTCATCTTGAGGATCACGTTCGGAGAGCCAAACCACACCAAAGAGATAAATTTTAATTATCTGGTCATTGACGCCCCCTCCTCATACAATATGATCATTTGGCGACCACCCTTTAATCGACTGGAGGCTGCTTTGTCTACCTTGTATTTATGCATGAAGTATCCACTCTCTAATGGGCGAGTAAGACTTGTTCGAAGAGATCGGGAAATTTCTAGGAATTGTTATGCAGAAGCCTATAGTTAAAGAGGGAACACCTTCCTGGCGTGAGGGAGAAAAAAGCCAGCCATGGGATATCTCCACCTGACGAAGCTAGCGAGAGCAAGTAAGTTTCCCAACCATCTTTACAAAACGATGAAGCATGAGAGAAGGAAGGATTCCATTCTCCTCCCGAATCGTCTACATAGTCATTACATTTCTATAATTTATTTTTTAAAATTATTTTATCTTTTATTATTTATCTAGTTGACATTTTTCCATTGGCGAGTGTTAAAACTCTATCGATTGTAAGGACAAGTTGTTAGTGGGGATGCATTATTTTCCCTCTACTCCCCCAGAGGAGTGATGGTTTTTAATGATAATTCTCATCCTTATTTATCTATATCTATTTGTTACATATTTGCAAAAAATATAGGTACACGAGGAAGCCTCTCGATAGAGGGAATTACATTTTCTGGAACCCCAAGGGATGATTCTTTCCTCCCATAGAGGCAATTACATTTGTTGGATCCCTAAGGCAGGATCTTTGTCACCCATTGAGGAAATTACATTTGCTGGATCCCCAAGGTAGGATCGTTGTCTCCCATTGAGGAAATTACATTTTGTGGATCCCCAAGGTAGAATACTTTCCACCTATTGAGGCAATTACATTTGTTGGATCCCCAAGGGAGTGTCCTTGTCGCCCATTGAGGCAATTACATTTCCAAGATCACTAAGGGAGGATCCTTGATGACCATAGAGACCATTACATTTGTTGGATCCCCACGGGAGGATTTTTTCCGTCCATTGAGGCAATTACATTTTTTTGGATTCTCTAGGGAGGATCCTTGGAACCCATTGAGGAAAATATATTTGTTGGATTCCCGAGGAAGGATCCTTGTCGCACATAGAGGTAATCATAGCAATAAAACGTCTTAAGATTAGGAAAAATAACATAGCTGTTAACACTAAAAGCAATTAATACAAAGACGCCCCTAGAGGGACACCGCTGTTCAAAACAATTACGAAGATCCCCAAAGGGATAAACAATATTATAGCAAAAAAAAAAGGGGGGGGGGGAATAAGTCATTCTTCGTCCACCAGCTCCTCATCTAGAACCACCTTAAAGGGGGTCCAAGGGGATTAAATCCAAATGGGGGTAAAGAGAGCTACCCGCCTTCTTGCATTCTCAAAAGAGATGAACAAAATCTACTACACCGTCATCTGCAATCTGGGAAATCCGTTCCTTCTTGCTTTCAAGAGCGCTCTGAGTTTCCTCGAGCAACTTTTGCAACCCTGCCACCTCTTCCCATTGAACACGCATCTCGGCGACCACTCCTTTGGAAAACACCTTCCGATCAACGATCCTTACCTTATACTTATTTAATGCCACCGTTCCTTTTCGGGTACGCCTATTCAAGTTAGCCACCTCGAACATCATTCTCGCTAAGGTATCAGAGTGTTTCTTCCTTAAAAACCTTTCCACCAAGAAGCATCTCATAAGCTTGATCTCTAGTAAAGTTGACAGTTGAGTGGTAGATAGGGCGAAAAGCGTATGATAATCACTCAGAAGGTTCATAGGGAAGGAAATTAAATGATCGTAAAAGGCCACGGTGTCGAAGGAAGAGTTGCTCCACAGAGAAGGCTCAGGAGGAGTTCGAGTAACCTTCAATCTCTTCGTCCCAGACCCCACCTCTTGGCTTGCAGATAGTGTAGTAAAATTATGTTCCTTCCTAGGAACCTTGGGAGCGTGAATCTCGGTTGCCCGATAAGTTTCTCCCTTTGCCATCCCCGGTACGTCAGTAGCACCACAAGTGAAAGAAAACATCACCCGTTTTTGATTCACTTGCATCTTCACCAACCACTCCCACTTTTCTTCGAGGGGCACCACAATCATCTCACATACACAAAAATAGACCTTTAGGGCACACCCACACCATGGAACAAAAATAAAATGTATTTACTCTTACCTATGTACTCCTTCATTCCGTTACCGTCTTCACAGTCACGAGCAATGAGAAAGCTAGATTTCAGGGGGCGGAAGCACTCCAAAACCTGAATCAGTTTGTGTTCAAAAGGGAGAAGAAAACATGAATCCACCCTCACAGAAACCTTAGGACATAGATTCTAAGATACGTGAAAAAAGGGCTTGTCTCTTGCTCCCACAATAATGGGAGACATGTTGTCACGCCCTCTCACTCGAATTAACTTGTCTTTGCACTCCTCATAAGGGTTAGGGAAGGACTTCAACAAGCATACCCTAGAAAAAGGGTGCAGCTTTATCCAACCACTGTCAGGAAAGTACTCCATTATGTAGAAGTACAAAAGCACCCTGGCGGAAGGATAAACCCCAATTTGAAACATATTATTGTAAAAGCCCTAAGTATACTCCAAACATTTGGAGTAACCAGAGAAGGGGTCACATTGGCAACCGTTAAATTTTTTGTCTCAAAAGAGGAGAAGGGAACCATAACACCCATATCATATATAATAGGGATGTGAATGTAGAAGTATAATAGAGCAAAGAGATCACCAGAAGTATCTATGTCAACCTTCTCATCCTTTGATCAGTGCTCCATAAGCACATCCCTCTCGCGTCCCATGCTAGAAAAACTGATGCCATGATTAAACTTGTCGATCATGTCCTCAGTAGATTACAAAGAGGCTATCTATTGCACGTGTATGGACATTTTTCCTTACCATGGTCAATGAAAGTAAGGGTTCAAGAAAATGAAGTTTAAACACATAATTTTTTTGAAAAGAAGGAAGAAGAAGTAAAATAATGCTTCTAAAATATATAGGAAGTCCAAAGAAATGGGTTCACATGTTCACTCAATAGGTTGGCGCCATAAGTAGGAAAATCTTCATGCCTAGGTGTCACATGTGACTGTGGAAAGCTAACTTGTCTTCCCAAGAAATACCATCATAAGGTGTATTAAATGCTACTCATGTCTCTTCCACTCGAACACTCAATATATCCAAAGTGACTGGCGTTTGGGTGTTTTGGAACATCACTTCAAAACGAGTGTGTTTCCCGATTTTTTTAAATGCTTATGCCACACAGGCGCTCGCGGGCCCGTACAACTTCAGCTGAGGGACTCGCCTACGATTTCACTCACCCTTCATTGAGGGTCTCGCCTAAGAATGAAGCACTACTACTCAATGAAATCATTCGTGATCGAGAGAATCATCAATAGAGCGAGGGGTGCATTCTGAAAAGGAGACTAGTTTTAAACACTTCATCCTTTAGATAAAAGCCCAAATGTTTGTAGGATTATGTAGTGTTATATTTGGTAAGATCCTAGACCGCGACGCCCTAGCCCACCAATTGGGCTGCCTGGAAATAATCCAGGGGAATCACCCAACATTCTCCAACAACGTGGAGGTCAAGCTAGAAAAATTCCCTAATAATTTTGAGAAGATAATCAGTCAATAACCTTCCACAATAAGAGGGGAGCGGTTAAAGGCCATGTCCAAGAGGAAAAATCCATGGGTCCTCGAGGTCTATATAAGTACACCATCCCTAAGAAGGATAAATGATAAAATCTAAGTTATACATACTATCCACTATTGAAAAGTGAATTATGCTCATAACCATAACCACATACTCTATCAAAGTAACCATCCGCCTACAACCCAACATTGTAAGCCACCAACATGGTCTCTCACCTCAACTGAGTTGGTGCCTTAAACAACCTCAAAAACCATCTTATAAGGCTACTTGCCGCTGTGAGCTAGCCCTGACCATCCTAACCTATAATGAACCTACTAGGGTAAGTCTCCCTATTTCAGAGGTAACACATACACATGTACTTTTTGGATAGTACATAAAATATTTTCAAATATGTTTGGAAAGTTCTATTATTTGCCATTGAAGATTTCAACAGTAATATTTGATTCTTGTCAAATAACTCTAGTGCATTGTTCATAATCATTGAGTATCCCTTTTTCACAAGTTACCCAATTTATGATTTATGATGTGAAAGTCACGCGGCAACTTTCCAATTTAGTGACATGTTTTTCACGTGGCAGAAACACAACACAAGATACCATTTTTCTTATAGTGATAGGTTGCATATCATACCTGCAACATATAATACTTCTTCTATAATTACCACATTTCTATCTTCCTTTTCAATTATAATTTTTCCGCATTCATTTTATTGTCAATGTTTTATGACCTGCTAGCTTCACCTTCATTGTCCCTATTATATCTGATTCTCTCAACCATTATTTATATCCTATCATATGATTGGAACAACCAATATCCAAGAATCAATATCTTGACCTCCATATCTTAGTACTAGATAATTGTAATTACCATAAATATAACAAGATCATGAGTCTTATTATGCAATTATTTGATTCTTCTTCTTCTTCTTCTTCTTCTTCTTCTTCTTTATTTGGTTGTTTTTCTTTTCCAAACTAACAACCAGTCACATAATGTCCATATTTCTCATGATTGAAACATTGGACTTTCTTCTTATTATACCCCTTCTTCCTTCCACAATTCTTAATATGTATACCCCCCTCTTACTGAGATTTCAGACTTGTCATCACATGATTTTTTTTGTAATATTTACTTGTTCCCTTCTTCTATTTATTCTTCATTTCTTCCAAAGATTTTTCCTTGTTGAATAAATAAGTTTTATTCAAAATGTGTCTCATTCTCTCTTAACTCATTCTCAAATGATGAGTTTCGAGTGTTCCTTGCAACTCTTTTATTTTAAAACTGCTCAGATATTTTGTTTCCTTAATTCTCACTACAATCATGTCATATTGAGGATTAAGATTTTTTTTCATTTGAGTGATCAGTGTAAGCAATTTTGAAAAATACAATTTCATTACCCCTTACGTGCAAATTTTCATACGGCCTCCTCAAATATTGAAGACGGACCTTCTTGACATGTGCATTGTCACCATATTACTTCTTAAGCATAATTGCCTCTAAAATTTTATCAAACACCTTTACATCAACACGTTGGTGGATGCAAATAAACAATTTTAATCCTTTTTCTTCGACTCATTGAATGCTGCTCACAAAACTTTTGAGATATTTTCAAACAATATGTGAAAGACCAATAGTTACAAATTCATTCATATCTTCAGAAGACGACTCTTACTTGTTTGCACCATCTATCATAATTCTTTGTTAGAAAGGAAGCAAATACTTTATAACTTCTTATCAAATAGAATACAACCATGTCTTTATATAGACTCAGAGATTTATGCTATTCTAGGAAAACTAATAATATTAGTAAATACTATTAATAGGCCACTATCTCTTGGCCTTCCAACTACAACATACTCTTAATCTTTCCACTAACGTATTAATATTAACCCACTAACTATAACATTAAAGTTTATTCAACAAAACTCCTTAGTAAATTTAAATGTTTCTTCTATCCATCATGCCTATGAATTTCTCGCCTCTGTCGAAAATTTCTTTTGATAATAGTTTTGTGAAAATATCTGCTGCTTGATCCTTGCTTGCTACATGCCTCAATTCAACACTTACTTCCTTCACATATTCTCGAATGAAGTGGAAGCGAACGTCAATGTGTTTGCTTCTTTCATGGTTTAATGGATTCTTGCTAACTCAATTGCTGATTTATTATCCACTTGTATTACTGTTGCACCTTCCTATTTTAGCTCTATTTTGCTCATTAATCGTCTAAGTCATATTGCATGACAGACGCACCAAGATGTTACTACATATTCAACTTCACATATTGAAAGTGTTACTATCAGTTGCTTCTTAGAAAGCTAAGTAAATGCAATATTTCCCATGAAGAACACATATCCAGAAGTGCTTTTTTGATCATCTATATCTCTGCACCAATCACTGTCAAAGTAACCAACCGACTTATAGTCTTCTGTTCTTGAATAAAACATTCCAAATGACACAGTTCCTTAGATGTACCTTAGGATTCATTTCAATTCCTTCCAATGTGAATATACTAGCTCCTCCATGAATCGACTTACAATGTCGACACTTAATGAAATATCCGGCCTTGTACATATGAGATATCAAACACTACCTACAAAGCTTAGATATTTGCTTACTTTGACACGTTCTCCTCCATCAAATTTTGACAACTTTGCGCATGGTTACATTGGTATCGAAGTTGGATTACGACTTTCCATCTTATATTTTTTCAAGATTTCTTTTGCATAGTTTTCCTGTGAAATTAATATTCATGTTTCTTCTTGTCGAACCTCCAGACCAAGAAAGAATCTCATCAGACCTAAGTCTGTCATTTTGAATTCACGTGCCATTGTGGTCTTGAATTCTTCTATCATCTGACCATTACTTCCTAGAAAAGTAAGGTCATCGACATAGAGAGCAACAAGTAATACGTTACTTCCATTTTTCTTCACATAGAGGGCATGTTCATATGAACATTGCTCAAACCCATTCTCCTTGAAATATGTGTTGATATGTGTGTTCCATGCTCGCGGTGCTTGCTTCAGCCCATATAACATTTTCTTCAATTTCAGCACCTTCTTCTCTTCTCCAATCCTTATATACCCGAGTGGTTGTTCGACATAGACTTCTTCTTCGAGTACACCATTTAAAAATGATGTCTTGACATTCATTTGAAATTTCGGCCATTTGAATTGAGCATCTTGAGAAATGAGTAATTGAATTGTCTCCATTCTTGCAACATGTGCAAATACTTCATCATAGTCGACTCCTGTTTTCTGTTTGTATCCCTTTGTAACAAGTCGCGCTTTTTATCGTTCTATTTCTCCTTGAGCATTCATATTTTTCTTGAATACCCACATTTCACCAATGGGTCGACTACCTTTTGGCAATTTGACTAGCTCCTAAGTGTTGTTGCGGTCTAT